CACTCCCTCTAACATGTAAACTCACTGAGCAGGACCCTCAATCCCTCTGTTACTGTGTCACTATACCCCACTCCCTCTAACATGTAAACTCACTGAGCAGGGCCCTCAATCCCTCTGTTACTGTGTCACTATACTCCACTCCCTCTAACATGTAAACTCACTGAGCCGGGCCCTCAATCCCTCTGTTACTGTCACTATACCCCACTTCTTCTAACATGTAAACTCACTGAGCAGGGCCCTCAATCCCTCTGTTACTGTGTCACTATACCCCACTCCCTCTAACATGTAAACTCACTGAGCAGGGCCCTCAATCCCTCTGTTACTGTCACTATACCCCACTCCCTCTAACATGTAAACTCACTGAGCAGGGCCCTCAATCCCTCTGTTACTGTGTCACTATACCCCACTCCCTCTAACATGTAAACTCACTGAGCAGGGCCCTCAATCCCTCTGTTACTGTGTCACTATACCCCACTCCCTCTAACATGTAAACTCACTGAGCAGGCCCTCAATCCCTCTGTTACTGTGTCACTATACCCCACTCCCTCTAACATGTAAACTCACTGAGCAGGCCCTCAATCCCTCTGTTACTGTGTCACTATACCCCACTCCCTCTAACATGTAAACTCACTGAGCAGGGCCCTCAATCCCTCTGTTACTGTGTCACTATACCCCACTCCCTCTAACATGTAAACTCACTGAGCAGGGCCCTCAATACCTCTGTTACTGTGTCACTATACCCCACTCCCTCTAACATGTAAACTCACTGAGCAGGGCCCTCAATCCCTCTGTTACTGTGTCACTATACCCCACTCCCTCTAACATGTAAACTCACTGAGCAGGCCCTCAATCCCTCTGTTACTGTGTCACTATACCCCACTCCCTCTAACATGTAAACTCACTGAGCAGGGCCCTCAATCCCTCTGTTACTGTGTCACTATACCCCACTCCCTCTAACATGTAAACTCACTGAGCAGGCCCTCAATCCCTCTGTTACTGTGTCACTATACCCCACTCCCTCTAACATGTAAACTCACTGAGCAGGCCCTCAATCCCTCTGTTACTGTGTCACTATACCCCACTCCCTCTAACATGTAAACTCACTGAGCAGGGCCCTCAATCCCTCTGTTACTGTGTCACTATACCCCACTCCCTCTAACATGTAAACTCACTGAGCAGGCCCTCAATCCCTCTGTTACTGTGTCACTATACCCCACTCCCTCTAACATGTAAACTCACTGAGCAGGCCCTCAATCCCTCTGTTACTGTGTCACTATACCCCACTCCCTCTAACATGTAAACTCACTGAGCAGGCCCTCAATCCCTCTGTTACTGTGTCACTATACCCCACTCCCTCTAACATGTAAACTCACTGAGCAGGCCCTCAATCCCTCTGTTACTGTGTCACTATACCCCACTCCCTCTATGTAGCTCACTGAGCAGGCCCTCAATCCCTCTGTTACTCACTATGTAGAGCAGGGTCCTCAATCTCTGTTACTGTGTCACTATACCCCACTCCCTCTAACATGTAAACTCACTGAGCAGGGCCCTCAATCCCTCTGTTACTGTGTCACTATACCCCACTCCCTATAGCATGTAAACTCATTGAGCAGGGTCCTCAATCTCTGTTACTGTGTCACTATACCCTATTCCCTATAGCATGTAAATTCATGGAGCAGGGCCCTCAATCCCTCTGTTCCTGGGTATCCAACTCATCTGGTTACAAGTATAAGTGGCGCTTAATAAATATTAATAATAATATTATCTTTCTATTCCTCATGACAGCTTTTGGGTGAGTTAGGAGAGCTCTCTTTAGGATTCCTGACTGTGCTTGACCATTAACCATGTGAGTATTAGTAGATAGTGGAAATAATACTGTGGGTGATTGAAGATAATGAAATGTTAATTGTGGTAACAACACACAGTGGGAGTTAGAGAGTTGTTACCTGTAGACTGTGTGTGTTGGACTGCTGTCCCCTTCTGGCAGTGGGAATCTACGTGAGGGTGACAGTGAATGTTTGGAGTTATTAGAGGTGGGGTGACTTTGGTCTGTAGGAATGGTACCGGGCATATCTGGGGTAGACAGTGGACAGTGGGACTGTAGCTCACTGTGAATGGTGTGAGTTTGAGCTGAGGTAACTGAAGACTCTGTTAGAGAGACTGAGTGTGGGTCTGATAGGGGTTGGCTTTGGTGTTCCATCATATCTTTGAAGTCGACGATTGGTTCGTTGACCTCGTAACACGGGTTGACACGGCCATGAGCCAGCTGGTTAAAGAGTGTGTCATCGGGGTCTGAATGGTGCTCCACCAGGGCTGTCAAACTGGCAAACTCTTCTGTGAGATGCTAAAAGAACAAGACCGGAATTATAAGAACACTGAGTGTGGTGTTACTGAGTAGTTACACTGGACATTACAGATCTGAACAGACTTGATTTGCATTGCACTCTATAAAATCTGCTTATCTGTTCGTCATCTGATACGTCACCTACCTCCAAGCAGTACTTGCCCTGTGAGGTTCTGTAGACTTTGTATGGGATGACACCACACTGGGTTCTTATGAACATTGTCAGATTCCCTTCACTTCCGGGATCTGCACGGAACAAGAACGCCCCCATCCTGTCATTCTTCAGTAACGTTAACCCAGTATCTCTGTGGATGAACACAAACCAAATTACTGCCTGGACCATCAGTGACTGTAACCGTGTAAGGACTATGTCAGTGACTGCCTGTAACCGTGTCAGTATAAAGTGAAAGTCAACACTGAATAAACTGAAAACAAAATTCTGCAGCTCATCGTAAACCACAACTTAAATGTGCAGCTTGTTGTAAACTGAAACAGAACCCTGCAGCTCTCCATAGCCTGAACACTGAACCCTGCAGCTCTCCATAGACTGAACAGTGAACCCTGCAGCTCTCCATAGACTGAATACTGAACCCTGCAGCTCTCCATAGACTGAGCACAGCTCTCTATAGACTGAACACTGAGCCCTGCAGCTCTCCATAGACTGAGCACAGCTCTCCATAGACTGAACATTGAACCCTGCAGCTCTCCATAGACTGAATACTGAACCCTGCAGCTCTCCATTGACTGAATACTGAGCCCTGCAGCTCTCCATAGACTGAACACTGAACCCTGCAGCTCTCCATAGAACTGAATACTGAACCCTGCAGATCTCCAGATACTGAATACTGAACCCTGCAGCTCTCCATAGACTGAACACTGAACCCTGCAGCTCTCCAGAGACTGAATACTGAACCCTGCAGCTCTCCATAGACTGAATACTGAACCCTGCTGCTCTACATAGACTGAGCACTGAACCCTGCAGCTCTCCATAGACTGAATACTGAACCCAGCCGCTTAGCTTCGGAAAGATATGTAAGATTCTTGTGGTCTGTGAGGATGAGAATTGGCACTGAAGTACCCTCAAGAAGGTTCCTCCATTCTTTGAGAGCTAAAATTAAAATTTGAGGGACTCAAAGGCAGTAATGGCTTCCTGTGAGGGACTCAAAGGCAGTAATGGCTTCCTGTGACCAATGTTGTGGATCAGCATCTCTTCTAGTCATATCCGTGAGAGATTTAACCAAGGAAGAAAAGTTGTTTATGAATTTCCGATAATAATTGGCGAAGCCAAGAAAATGCTGTATAGAGCGAAGACCCGTAGGTTGAGGCCATTGCAGTACAGCAGAAAGTTTCTCTGGATCCATAGAGAATCCAGCATCTGAGATAACATAGCCCAAGAATGTGACCTGTTTGCAGTTGAACTCACATTTCTCCAATTTACAGAACAGATTATTTTCTCTGAGTCTCTGTAGAACACGATAAACGTCTGCGTGATGGTTCTCGAGAGATGTGGAATGAATAAGAATATCGTCAAGATAAACCACCACACATTGCTGCAGCATATCTCGCAGGACATCATTTATAAATTCCTGGAAACCCGCCGGAGCATTGCAAAGATCAAAAGGCATTACACCGCTCCTGGTGTTAAATGCGGTTTTCCATTCATGGTCCTCTTTTATCCGGACGAGATTATATGCCCCTCTCAGATCAAATTTAGTGAAGACTGTTGCTCCCTTGAGGCGGTCGAATAACTCTGTGATCAACGAAATAGGGTAGGCATTCTTAATAGTAATGCGATTGAGACCCCTATAATCGATACAGGGTCTCAACTCACCACTCTTCTTTTTCACAAAGAAAAAGCCGGCCCCGGCAGGAGAAGATGAGTTCCGAATGAATCCCTTTGACAATGCATCAGTAATATACTCCTCCATGGCTCGATTCTCTGCTACAGACAGTGGATAAATCCGACCACGGGGGAGGAATGGCACCAGGTTGGAGTTCGATACCACAGTCATACGGACTGTGTGGCAGCAGAACGCTGGCTTGACCCTTGTCAAATACATCTTGGAATTCTTGGTACTCAGCGGATAAGGAAGAGGCAGAAAATGTGCCAAAAACTTTGACCGGTTTCCGGAGACAAGAAAATGTGCATTGCTGGGACCAAGATAATATCTCAGCTTTGCGCCAATCAATTGTGGGGTTATGCTTCTGTAACCAAGGGTATCCCAAAACAACCTGGTAATATGGAGAGGAAATGACCTGGAATTGGATCGTCTCATGATGTAGAACCCCTACAGCCAGAGATATGGGCACGGTCTCCTGGGTCACGTGGGTTGGCTGTATTGGTCTGCCATCGATGGCTTCGAAAGCTAGCGGAGAGTTGCGAGGCTGTAAGGGTATAGAGTGCTCCGATGCAAATGCACAGTCTATGAACGAGCCTGCGGCCCCAGAATCAAGCAATGCCCGGGTTTTAATGGATGAATCAGGCCAGGAGAGGATAATAGGCACCAAGAGTTTGTCCTCATATATCTCTGGGTCTGCAGAAAGACCACCCAAGATCTGCCCCAAACAGTATCTTGGGTGCGGGCCCTTTACCGGACGAATCGGCAAAACTTTAACATGTGACCCTGGTGTCCGCAGTATAGGCACAGGCCCTCCCTCCTCCTAAAGGCTCTCTCCTCGACAGAGAGACGTGAGAAGCCTAACCGCCTCGGCTCCACACCGACAGAGTGCTCAGGACCAGGAGGTAATTGAGGTGAGGGAGGTTTGGGTGGGCAAGAAAAGCTCTGTGCCAAATATACAGGAGGCCTCCGCAGGCGCTCCCTGGATGAGGATCTCTCTCGGAGTCTGATATCAATGAGGGTGACAAAGGATATCAGTTCCTCAAGATCTTTAGGTAATTCTCTGGCTGCAATCTCATTTTTAATAACATCGGAGAGCCCCTGTGCAAAGGCAGCCACGAGAGTCTCGTTGTTCCAGCCACCCTCTGCTGCTATGGTACGGAATTCACTGGCATACTCGACAATAGTTCTCGTGCCCTGAGCATTAGACATGAGTTGTTTGGCAGTAGGGGTGGAGCGAGCTGGAATATCAAAAACCCTTTTAAAGGACGCAACAAATTCAGGGTAATTGTACATAATGGGCCTCTCTGCCTCCAGAGAGGTTTTGCCCAAGCTAGGGCTTTTTCAGACAGCAAAGAAATCATGAACTGGACTTTGTCTCTGTCTGTAGGAAATGTCTGGGGAAGCATTTCAAGTTATCCTTTAACCTGATTTACAAATTCTTTGCACTGAGCTGGGTTGCCCCCAAAATACTGAGGGAGCGGGACAGACCCAGTCATTCCTCTAGCCGCAACAGGTTTGTTGGCTGCAACCGGTGCTAGAACAGGAAGTGAGGCAGAGGCGGCCGCAATCACAGGCTGGCCAAGTGCTGGATCCAGATAAGCATACTGGTCCAAATGGTGGTTCTGCTGGTCCCACCGGGTAAATAGGTTAGGTATAGGTGTATTGCCTGTACCATCTGTATTCATGGCCATTGCGTAATGTCAGGTATCGGGAACCAGACAGAGACAGAACTAGATGCAAAAACACCTTTATTTAATAAATAACAAAGAAATCACCAAAAGCAACGTCCAGGAGGCAAACAGGGGTCAGTCACCAGAGCGGGTAGTCAGACGAGCCAGGATCAGGAGAACGGAGAGCAGCGGAGTCAGGAACAAGGCCAGAGTCAGGAACCAGGAGCAAACAGGAAACACAGGAACAAGGAGACTTCTAGGGGACAGGAAACCACGCAAGGGCAAGGAGGTTCTGGGATTAGCTGCTTAAATAGGCTGCGCTGATTAGCAGCAGGATTGATTACTATTCTCAGGTGAGTAACCGTGGCAACATAGCGAAGGGGCTGATCGTTAATCTCAGCTGAAAACTCAGACACTGAAAAAGGAAGGGTTGCTGTTTAAAACAGCAAAGAAACCGTGACACTATGTAGTTCTGGGGCTGCAGAATTCTCGTTAATCAAACTGTGGCCTATTCCTTAAATAGGAAGTTTACTGGAGGATATTGAGCCAGGATTTCTAAGTTATCCACAGATTGTAATCAGTAGACTGTCTGCAGGTAATGTGAGTGAGTTCCACTCGGTGGGAGAGATCATCTTTGTGCAGTGATCCAAAAAACATCTACAATATTTACCATCAGAATGAGTGTATAAATCAGAGTGCACACCCAGAGACAGATGATGCTTTATATGATAACGCTAATTTAATAAATATTACGTACAAAATCCCCTAATGACCAGCTGCATCCTGGGATAGTCATGATTCTTCCCGCCCGAAACAGAACTGAGGCTACCAACATAAACAAGGGACCAGTCACACCGTAATACAATCTGACCCAGCATTAGTGTGCATGGGCAAAGCCCTTCTCTGCTGATGGAGAATGCAAAAGGTGACCTCAGCAGTGAATGGGTTAAAGTGTCTGGCTCTCCAATCGTGGTCACCATACCTACTAATTCCAGCGAAGAACCAGACCGCATCCCGCATTAGGTCCCTGTTCCCGTGGAGATCAACTGATTGAAGATTTTGTAAATCTAAATGAGAAATGGGCAAAAAAGATTTTAAAATAAATGGATTGTAAACAAACCGCAAAGTTACAGGTTTCCTATCATTAATTCCATAAACGAAAAATAACTATCTTTGGAAACTGCTCGCCTTACGTTTGAAATTCACCTTAAATATCCAACAATTCTCACTTTAGTGAATAATCCAGCCTGTAACTGTGTCAGTACTATATCTCTGACTGCCTTTAACCGTGTCAGGACTATATCTCTGACTGCCTGTAACCGTGTCAGGACTATATCACTGACTGCCTGTAACTGTGTCAGGACTATATCACTGACTGTCTGTAACCGTGTCAGGACTATATCACTGACTGCCTGTAACTGTGTCAGTACTATATCACTGACTGTCTGTAACCGTGTCAGGACTATATCACTGACTGCCTGTAACTGTGTCAGGACTATATCCCTGACTGTCTGTAACCGTGTCAGTACTATATCACTGACTGCCTGTAACTGTGTCAGGACTATATCACTGACTGTCTGTAACCGTGTCAGTACTATATCCCTGACTGTCTGTAACCGTGTCAGTACTATATCCCTGACTGTCTGTAACCGTGTCAGTACTATATCACTGACTGTCTGTAACCGTGTCAGTACTATATCACTGACTGTCTGTAACCGTGTCAGTACTATATCTCTGACTGCCTTTAACCGTGTCAGGACTATATCACTGACTGCCTGTAACTGTGTCAGTACTATATCACTGACTGTCTGTAACCGTGTCAGTACTATATCCCTGACTGTCTGTAACCGTGTCAGTACTATATCCCTGACTGTCTGTAACCGTGTCAGTACTATATCACTGACTGTCTGTAACCGTGTCAGTACTATATCACTGACTGTCTGTAACCGTGTCAGTACTATATCTCTGACTGCCTTTAACCGTGTCAGGACTATATCACTGACTGCCTGTAACCGTGTCAGGACTATATCTCTGACTGCCTGTAACTGTGTCAGTACTATATCACTGACTGTCTGTAACCGTGTCAATACTATATCACTGACTGCCTGTAACTGTGTCAGGACTATATCACTGACTGTCTGTAACCGTGTCAGTACTATATCCCTGACTGTCTGTAACCGTGTCAGTACTATATCACTGACTGTCTGTAACTGTGTCAGTACTTTATCAGTGTCTGCTTGTAACCGTGTCAGGACTATATCACTGACTGCCTGTAACGTGTCAGTACTATATCAGTGACTGCCTGTAACCATGTCAGGACTATATCTCTGACTGACTGTAACCGTGTCAATACTATATCAGTGACTGTCTGTAACTGTGTCAGTACTATATCACTGACTGCCTGTAACTGTGTCAGTACTATATCACTGACTGCCTGTAACGTGTCAGGACTATATCAGTGACTGTCTGTAACTGTGTCAGTACTTTATCAGTGTCTGCTTGTAACCGTGTCAGGACTATATCACTGACTGCCTGTAACCGTGTAAGGACTATATCACTGACTGCCTGTAACTGTGTCAGGACTATATCTCTGACTGCCTGTAACTGTGTCAGGATTATATCACTGACTGCCTGTAACTGTGTCAGGACTATATCACTGACTGCCTGTAACTGTTTCAGGATTATATCACTGACTGCCTGTAACATGTCAGGATTATATCACTGACTGTCTCACTACTATATCACTGACTGCCTGTAACTGTGTCAGTACTATATCACTGACTGCCTGTAACCATGTCAGGACTATATCACTGACTGTCTGTAACAATGTCAGTACTATATCACTGACTGTCTGTAATTGTGTCAGGATTATATCACTGACTGACTGTAACTGTGTCAGTACTATATCACTGACTGTCTCACTACTATATCACTGACTGCCTGTAACTGTGTCAGTACTATATCACTGACTGCCTGTAACCATGTCAGGACTATATCACTGACTGTCTGTAACAATGTCAGTACTATATCACTGACTGTCTGTAATTGTGTCAGGATTATATCACTGACTGACTGTAACTGTGTCAGTACTATATCACTGACTGTCTCACTACTATATCACTGACTGCCTGTAACTGTGTCAGTACTATATCACTGACTGCCTGTAACCATGTCAGGACTATATCACTGACTGCCTGTAACTGTGTCAGGACTATATCGGTGACTGTCTGTAACTGTGTCAGTACTATATCACTGACTGTCTGTAACCGTGTCAGTACTATATCACTGACTGTCTGTAACGTGTCAGTACTATATCACTGACTGCCTGTAACTGTGTCAGGACTATATCACTGACTGCCTGTAACTGTGTCAGGACTATATCGGTCACTGTCTGTAACTGTGTCAGTACTATATCACTGACTGCCTGTAACCATGTCAGGACTATATCACTGACTGCCTGTAACCGTGTCAGTACTATATCACTGACTGCCTGTAACTGTGTCAGTACTATATCACTGACTGCCTGTAACTGTGTCAGGACTATATCTCTGACTGACTGTAACCGTGTCAGGACTATATCAGTGACTGCCTGTAACCATGTCAGTACTATATCACTGACTGCCTGTAACCGTGTCAGGACTATATCAGTGACTGCCTGTAACCATGTCAGTACTATATCAGTGACTGCCTGTAACCATGTCAGTACTATATCACTGACTGCCTGTAACCATGTTAGGACTATATCTCTGGCTGACTGTAACCGTGTCAATACTATATCAGTGACTGTCTGTAACTGTGTCAGTACTATATCACTGACTGCCTGTAACCGTGTCAGTACTATATCACTGACTGCCTGTAACGTGTCAGGACTATATCAGTGACTGTCTGTAACTGTGTCAGTACTTTATCAGTGTCTGCTTGTAACCGTGTCAGGACTATATCACTGACTGCCTGTAACGTGTCAGTACTATATCAGTGACTGCCTGTAACGTGTCAGTACTATATCAGTGACTGCCTGTAACAGTGTCAGGACTGTATCACTGACTGCCTGTAACCATGTCAGTACTATATCACTGACTGCCTGTAACCATGTCAGGACTATATCTCTGACTGACTGTAACCGTGTCAATACTATATCAGTGACTGTCTGTAACCGTGTCAGTACTATATCACTGACTGCCTGTAACCGTGTCAGTACTATATCACTGACTGCCTGTAACGTGTCAGGACTATATCAGTGACTGTCTGTAACTGTGTCAGTACTTTATCAGTGTCTGCTTGTAACCGTGTCAGGACTATATCACTGACTGCCTGTAACGTGTCAGTACTATATCAGTGACTGCCTGTAACAGTGTCAGTACTATATCATTGACTGCCTGTAACAGTGTCAGGACTATATCACTGACTGCCTGTAACGTGTCAGGATTATATCACTGACTGTCTCAGTACTATATTACTGACTGCCTGTAACTGTGTCAGTACTATATCACTGACTGCCTGTAACCGTGTCAGGACTATATCACTGACTGCCTGTAACTGTGTCAGTACTATATCCCTGACTACCTGTAACCGTGTAAGGACTATATCACTGACTGCCTGTAACCGTGTAAGGACTATATCACTGACTGCCTGTAAATGTGTCAGGACTATATCTCTGACTGCCTGTAACTGTGTCAGGATTATATCACTGACTGCCTGTAACTGTGTCAGGACTATATCACTGACTGCCTGTAACTGTGTCAGGATTATATCACTGACTGCCTGTAACATGTCAGGATTATATCACTGACTGTCTCACTACTATATCACTGACTGCCTGTAACTGTGTCAGTACTATATCACTGACTGCCTGTAACCATGTCAGGACTGCCTGTAACCGTGTCAGTACTATATCACTGACTGCCTGTAACCATATCACTGACTGCCTGTAACTGTGTCAGGACTATATCACTGACTGCCTGTAACTGTGTCAGGACTATATCGGTGACTGTCTGTAACTGTGTCAGTACTATATCACTGACCGTCTGTAACCGTGTCAGTACTATATCACTGACTGTCTGTAACATGTCAGTACTATATCACTGACTGTCTGTAACCGTGTCAGTACTATATCACTGACTGTCTGTAACGTGTCAGGACTATATCAGTGACTGTCTGTAACTGTGTCAGTACTTTATCAGTGTCTGCTTGTAACCGTGTCAGGACTATATCACTGACTGCCTGTAACGTGTCAGTACTATATCAGTGACTGCCTGTAACAGTGTCAGTACTATATTAGTGACTGCCTGTAACAGTGTCAGGACTGTATCACTGACTGCCTGTAACTGTGTCAGTACTATATCAGTGTCTGCTTGTAACCGTGTCAGGACTATATCGGTGACTTCTGATCACTGAATGTGCCATAGTAAATATGAAGAGACTAATTCAGAATCTGGCAATTTTGAAGGATAGTGAATTGTGTGAATTACCTCCAATGTATTGCCTCTACATTGCCCAGATTACTTTATGGGAGGGTTGTTCATTAAAGGAAAATTGAACATTTTAGGTAAATATTTTTGAGTTGGATATTTTTTTTCCCAATTTGCTTATTTTGATCTAAAATGTGTAATTATTTTCTCAATTTTCCAAAATGTCCAGTTTAGTGAAAAACTCCATTACTGAATTCCCCCATTTATTTGAGTGTGAGAGTCGTGTGAACATATTGCTATTGGTGGAGACATTCGATTGTTTATACTCTATGGTGCTGGAGAGGTGGCGTGTTATCTTCCTGTCTTTCTTCACTTCTTCTCTCTCTTGTTCTGCAGCCATGTTTGCCTTTGAGATCTTTATATTTGTACTAATAATACAATACAGAGTAGGGCTTCAATATGGAGCCCTGCCTTTTATGTGCTGCTGTGCTAATACAACTTGGCTTGATTTCAGTAGTTTTTACCCTCGTTGAGTGTGAGGATCGAGTCGTATAGGCTTTACTCATGCTGAGTGTAAGAGTAGAGTAGCCTTGATACATGTCATGTGTCAGTCAGATAAAGTAGTCTTAAGTCATACAGGGAATGAGAATCTAAAGGAGTAATCTTTACTCATGTTGAGTGCTGGAATTAGGACGAGAGTAGTCTTTACTCATAAGGAGTGTGGAGTACTTTCTACTCCTACTGACGGTTATTCACTATAGTCCACATACACCCTGGATTAGCACAAGTCTGTGAATAACACTTTGAGAGGAAAAGAATGGAGGCTTGATGATTACCAGGGGGACTTTGCTCCTCTGTCTCTCGCTGGAGTAAGGACTCATAATTAGGGGAGCGATAGGCACCGGATCGGAGGACTTTGCTCCGAATGGCTTTTTTCCGAACCAATGTTGGTGAGCAATATGGAGATTCCAGTGAAGAGCTTCGTGGGATTCTTGTGGCCTTAGATACCTGCTAAGAGACAGGATTCCATTTATGCAATGCAACCAGTCACGTTGAGTGTAGAGGCTTAGAGTACATGTTCTGTATTCACATTACTAGCACTCTACATCCTTGCATGGTCACTATACGTTTCCCCAGTTTAGCCAACATTTCAGTAATATCACTAGGGAATTATTCCCTAAACTACAAGTTGGCTGGAACTCATATATAATAATAATTATTATTATTTTATTTTACTAAGTGAGGGTTACATTTACTTCTACTGTAATTTTTATGATCAAGTAATTAACTATTGTTTAAGCAAACTGACAACTTTGCCAATTTGCAGACTTTTTCACAATATTACTCTTCTGGACTACAATTTGCAATGTGGCTATCAGCTATCCATGACTTACTCTTTAGTGAATACATTCTGCTTTGCAGAATTTTATAATATTTCTTGTGCAGCTGGTAAAACATTGAGATCATTCACTAACTCAGAAATACAGGAAATATGGTGTGAAAAATGTAATTTATAGCCAAACTAACAAAGAGAGAAAAGAGTTGGCATTTTTTACGTTCTGAAGTTTAGCCTAAAATGATCAATACCATGGTCAATCAATCCCCAGTTTCCATTTTAGTGAGCAGTCCTGTTGGTCTGCTCTGTTGCTCAAATCTGCTCTGGCTTGGGAACTTATGAGCCGTGTCACTGAGTCCACATTTGCAGGAGTGAAGTAAAGGGAAATTTTTTGACACGTGACTGTGCCTACCAGTGGTGAAATAATAGTTATAACTCACGTGGCTGCTGGAGGAGTCATAGTGTTCAGTCCGTGGCAGGTGGCGAAAAGATATCAAGGCGTTAATGTTTTGAGACACCAATCCAGGATCTAGGGGCTTCCTTACAAAATCCTCTTCAGATGCTTTTCTCTGGGGGGTTTTGAATGCTGTTTGCACGGTGGAGGGCTCCACGTCACGTACCTCGGGGTGCCGAACCAGGTACTCAAGTTGGAAGGAGCGGCACAAGAGAAGATTTAATCCATGAGCCTGGAGAGAGAAGGATGCAATAAACTCCTGGAAAAGTTTATTAGCAGAATAGCATTGACAACAAATAACATATTACATTAGGCAGGCCACCATACTGCATTAGATTGGCTAGCATACCTAGATAGGCCGATGACTGTAACTTAACCAGTTTACTAAGTTTAACATTTTTAGGCTTGATAGCATGCTTCTCCATGATAGACTGGCTCTCATACCTTGCTAGGCTGGATACCATTCCTCTCTACAATAGACTGGCTCTCATACCTCACTAGGCTGGATACCATTCCTCTCATACCTCGCTAGGCTGGATACCATTCCACTCTACAATAGACTGGCTCTCATACCTCACTAGGCTGGATACCATTTCTCTCTATGATAGGCTGGCTCTCATACCTCACTAGGCTGGATACCATTCCTCTCTACAATAGACTGGCTCTCATACCTCACTAGGCTGGATACCATTTCTCTCTATGATAGGCTGGCTCTCATACCTCACTAGGCTGGATACCATTCCTATCTACAATAGACTGGCTCTCATCCCTCGCTAGGCTGGATACCATTCCACTCTACAATAGACTGGCTCTCATACCTCACTAGGCTGGATACCATTCCTCTCTATGATAGACTAACTATCATACCTCACTAGGCTGGATACCATTCCTCTCTACAACATCCTGGCTCTCATACCTCACTAGGCTGGATACCATTCCTCTCTACTATAGGCTGGCTCTCATCCCTCACTAGGCTGGATACCATTCCTCTCTATTATAGGCTGGCTCTCATACCTCACTAGGCTGGATACCATTTCTCTCTATGATAGGCTGGCTCTCATACCTCACTAGGCTGGATACCATTTCTCTCTATGATAGGCTGGCTCTCATACCTCACTAGGCTGGATACCATTCCTATCTATGATAGGCTGGCTCTCATACCTCACTAGGCTGGATACCATCCCTCTCCAATGATAGACTCTAACTATCATACCTCACTAGGCTGGATACCATTCCTCTCTACAACATCCTGGCTCTCATACCTCACTAGGCTGGATACCATTCCTCTCTACTATAGGCTGGCTCTCATCCTCCTGGGCTGGATGCCGATTTCCTCTCTATTATAGGCTGGCTCTCTCATGCCTCACTAGGCTGGATACCATTCCTCTCTACTATAGACTGAAATACTCGCCCTCACTGGGCTGGATACCATTTCTCTCTACTATAGGCTGGCTCTCCTTGTACCTCACTAGGCTGGACCACCATTCTCTGACAGGCTGTCTCATACCTCACTGGGCGGATACCATTTTCCTCTCTACAATAGACTGGCTCTCATGCCTCACTAGGCTGGATACCATTTCTCTCTGCCAGTGGGCCCAACTTCTCGCCTCCATAGGCTGGATACCATTTCACTCTACAACATCCTGATACTCATACCTCACTAGGCTGGATGCAATTTCCTCTCTCTACTATGAGCTTGGCTCTCCTTACCTCACTACGTGACATTCCTCCTCTACTATAGGCTAGCTCTCATACCTCCTTTCGGCTGGATACCATTCCTCTCTATGATAGACTAACTATCATACCTCACTAGGCTGGATACCATTCCTCTCTACAACATCCTGGCTCTCATACCTCACTAGGCTGGATACCATTCCTCTCTACTATAGGCTGGCTCTCATACCTCACTAGGCTGGATACCATTCCTCTCTACTATAGGCTGGCTCTCATACCTCACTCGGCTGGATACCATTCCTCTCTATGATAGACTAACTATCATACCTCACTAGGCTGGATACCATTCCTCTCTACAACATCCTGGCTCTCATACCTCACTAGGCTGGATACCATTCCTCTCTACTATAGGCTGGCTCTCATCCCTCACTAGGCTGGATACCATTCCTCTCTATTATAGGCTGGCTCTCATACCTCACTAGGCTGGATACCATTTCTCTCTACTATAGGCTGGCTCTCATACCTCACTAGGCTGGATACCATTCCTCTCTACGACAGGCTGGCTCTCATACCTCACTAGGCCGGATACCATTCCTCTCTACAATAGACTGGCTCTCATACCTCACTAGGCTGGATACCATTTCTCTCTGATAGGCTGGCTCTCATACCTCACTGGGCTGGATACCATTCCTATCTACAATAGACCGGCTCTCATCCCCTGCATTAGGCTGGATACCATTCCTCTCTACAATAGGCTGGCTCTCATACCTCACTAGGCTGGATACCATTCCTCTCTACTATAGGCTGGCTCTCATAACTCCCTAGGCTGGATACCATTTCTCTCTATGATAGGCTGGCTCTCATACCTCACTAGGCTGGATACCATTCCTATCTATGATAGGCTGGCTCTCATACCTCACTAGGCTGGATACCATCCCTCTCCAATGATAGACTCTAACTATCATACCTCGCTAGGTTGGATATCATTCCTCTCTACAACAGGCTGGCTCTCATACCTCACTAGGCTGGATACCATTCCTCTCTATGATAGACTAACTATCATACCTCACTAGGCTGGATACCATTCCTCTCTACTATAGGCTGGCTCTCATACCTCACTAGGCTGGATACCATTCCTCTCTACTATAGGCTGGCTCTCATACCTCACTCGGCTGGATACCATTTCTCTCTACTATAGGCTGGCTCTCATACCTCACTAGGCTGGATACCATCCCTCTCCAATGATAGACTCTAACTATCATACCTCACTAGGCTGGATACCATCCCTCTCCAATGATAGACTCTAACTATCATACCTCGCTAGGCTGGATATCATTCCTCTCTACAACAGGCTGGCTCTCATACCTCACTAGACTGGATACCATTCCTCTCTATGATAAACTAACTATCATACCTCACTAGGCTGGATACCATTCCTCTCTACAACATCCTGGCTCTCATACCTCACTAGGCTGGATACCATTCCTCTCTACTATAGGCTGGCTCTCATCCCTCACTAGGCTGGATACCATTTCTCTCTACTATAGGCTGGCTCTCATACCCCACTAGGCTGGATACCATTCCTCTCTACAACAGACTGGCTCTCATACCTCACTAGGCTGGATACCATTCCTCTCTACAACAGACTGGCTCTCATACCCCACTAGGCTGGATACCATTCCTCTCTACAACAGACTGGCTCTCATACCTCACTAGGCTGGATACCATTTCTCTCT